TATTGTGGAGCCAGGACGACCTGCATTTAGGTGACTTCAGCTACTCTTTTATTTCCAACGTGAGCTCTGAGAACTATCTGAAAGGAGTGACTGACTAGCGCCCTCTATGGTCTGGTATATTACATCCCCTGGGGTTTTCCTGCCTTGATAAAATTTGTCCATCTTTTCCTCCATGGGTTCCATGTTACATTTACACAGTAGTACCATGTGTACAATGTTTGAACTTACCTTCTAAAAACTGCCTAAGAGATTATTCCAATGAACACCATTAACACTCATAAAACAGGAACTGTTCTTTTAAACATTTCCTACATTTGCTTTTTTGTTTTGTTTTGTTTGGAAATTTTAACAACATATATGGCTGTATCAAGCAGTACGCGCAGTTTTTCCACACCAACTTCAGGAATGAATCAGTGACACCCAAGATGCTCCTCCTGGAAGAACATGTCGTACCTTGGATCTCACGATGGCAAGTGGGCCTTGGCTTCAATGGTGGACAAGGACAAAATACGTAGAGAAGTCAGAGGGCTGACTGACAATGTGAGTATTCTGAAGTCTGTGATGTCCACTCACTGCATACAAATAAACCCAACATAAGATTCAACTTGATCACCTGATGATGGGTTGTTATGTTGTCATTATTCTGTCTTTCAAAGTTTACTAAGATTGTCAGACAGGTTAATATTTAAGGTGCTGTAAACATTTAGTGGTATCTGAAACTAAATTCTAGAATGGCGTTAATTGCATTTCAGATAATGAATTTCATTTCAGATTGATCAAAACATTCAACAAGAAATACATTATGTTAACCTAATGAGTACTGTGATTATAAAACAGCTGTCAGTAGTTTATGATAATCCCTTAGTTGAAAAAATTTTCACCTCACCATTGTAATAATTGATACAGCTCATTAAACTTAATAATCTGACTGTAAAACTGACCGAATGTGAGAAAAAGTAAACAAAAAAAGGCCATTTGCAATATGTTTGCTGTTCAAATGAAAATATGTAGAGACTTCCTGGTCCAAAAAGTTTGTTTGCCTTCTCTCGTGACCCTGTTTATCACATGTGGAGAGAAAAAGAAATTTAAGACAATTATGATTTTTTTTACTACGACTTACCGTGGACTCAACTAACACATGAAGATAGAAGTGATCAAGTCACCAGCAGTGTGATGGCAGTTGCAAGCCACGCACAGGCACGACACGTACATGTATGCATCTGCATCGGAACACTGACATAATACTAACACCAAAGAAGTGGAGGATACTCGGCAACACTGATTTCTTACGGTGTGCCAATCATCTAATAACTTTGTTTAATCTGTATTCAAGAAATATCTTCTAGGTAAGACTTTGAGAAAAGTGGTGAACATGGGAAAAAATACCTTTGAAAATGCCCCAAAATTTAACGCGGTGTTACAAAATTGACAAAATTATGACATGTTACATTACCTTTTCCCCAAGAAATACTGGTTATTTTCCAGCAAAATGACAAAATTTATTAAGCTTAACCCATAAATATTCCTTTTAAAGCAAAAAAATCACAAAAACTTCCAAAGATTTTTGATTACGAAAGATGACTGATTTTATCCAAATATTTACCGGAAGCAGCCATATCAATGGGACCTTTAATGCCACAGTGCACATGCGTGAAAACTAAGCAAGTTGGTGGCACATACGTGCTCTGACTCTCAGTGAATGGTGTTATATTTCAAGTCTTTTTTGTGTATAGACATGTTGGCCTAGAACTCAACATTGAATTTAGCCTTAATCCTATACAAGTGGAAGATGTTCAGACTTGTGAAGCAGTACATTCATTCTCAGGTTGGGCTGTATGTTATCTTTGCAGTGTAATTTAATAAGTATTTACATGTTTGTTATATTTATGTACGTATACTTATGAACTTTTCCCTTTTCATTATACTTTTAACCTTTGTAATGTGATTGATGATGCCAACTTCCGCCTCCTTGTGCGTGGTCGTGTATATTTGACCTGAAATCTGCAGCTACTCAATAAAATTTGTCAATCTGAGCCCAGTTTCCTACCCCTAGAAACTGTAGTTGTATCAATACCATGTTTCTAGCGTATAAGCCACACTTTGGCATGCATCAAAGCATTGACATTGGTGAACCAAAAACTACAAATAATGCTTCGCTGATAGGAAGTGATAATATCACGGTCGGAGGTCGTGCACAAGTATCCAACCACAGTGCAAAGCCCAAAGCCTAGTTCTTCCCAGCGTCCTGCTGGGGCGCGAGTGATGAGCGAACTGTGACCACATCGAAACTGTACATTGGACAATGCGATGCTTAGGAATCAGCCATCCGTGCGCCAATACATGGCATGCTTTTTGTGAATGGTGCTCTATGTCAGTGTGCCGTGACGTCGTCTCCAGGAAAATTTAAATGGCTCTATGAAGAAGATGGCGACTTTTGAGCTCAACGACAAGAGCGACATTCCCGATTTGAAGGGGAAATTCCTCTTTTCATCCCATAGGTAAGCAAACCTTATCATCATTATTGGAATCTCCAATGCTCACTTATAGTCGGGTGCATCGGACACTGTAAGGACCATTTTGAATGCGAATCCCAAGGACTTTGATTCAGGGTACATACCACAATGCACAAGCTATTTTGAATGACATGAATTAATGGACTGATGGAGTGTATGGAGGGTACTTGGATTCCACGTGTATTACTCGACTGTGTCCAAATTATACAAAAGGCCATTTGCAGTCTAAATTACTTGGACTACAACTGCCAGGAGTGTCCAGCCTATGGCAAGACATGCCACAGCTCCCATAAACAGAACCAAGGAAAGAATTCCATATAGGATGCCAGTTACTCCCTATGATGACCTAAAAGTATATTATTAGCTATCACAAAGTAAAAACACGTCCACAAAAATCAAATTAGGAGGGATAATGCCGAGTCAAGTCGTTTACACAGAATGCAGACTTTTGCAGACCAGTCTCTAAGGGTTTATGCACGGGGTGTCAAGTGGCGTCCTTATATTGAACTCTTTCCAAGAATGACATAAGCCTTGGATGACACAAACCTGAACCTGAAGCTTGACATTCACTCCACTACACACTCCACTTGTGAATAGCACACACATTCCCCTTGACTTCACACTCGCGGTAGTCCAGGAGCTAGGCAAGGTTTATTTAACATAAAACGTTCAAGAGGTTTGGGGTGCCGGATTTAACAGTTGTCATTCTTACGTTCCGCCAGTGGTGAGTGTGGGAAGAGAGGGCGCCACTTACCCCCCCCCCAAAAAAAATTTGATTTAATTACCATGCAAGGTGCAAGTTCCATCGCTATGCCAAATGATTAAGGGCACCAATCAGAAATGTAAGAATAACATTTCCAGTGCAAATGCCACTTAAGAATGGCATTAATTAGTGCTAATGAGGGTTTTAATTAACATGAAATGTATAAGTTTGAAACCAAGTCAGGAGGCAAAAGGGTGGTGGCCTCATTCAGAATCACTAACATATTATGGAAACTATGGAGGAAAAAAAGGACACTTAAGAATAGGTCAAAGGTTAATTATACTACCCTTAATTGTAACGTTTAATTAACATGGAAAGTACATGCTTAAAACCACACAGGCATGGTTGAGAATGTTGCCCTGCTTCCAGATTGCGAACGTAATGGACAGGCCACTTCAGGACATGTCAATGGTTATACATGGCCAATGTACAATGCGACTGATTGTCTGCTATAGCTCCCCTTACAATTATGGTATCAGGAAGTCACCTGTCCTTTAAGACAACAGTTATGCCTGTAAATATGTGAAAGAATTGTAACCCCTCCAACAAGTAGGCTTATCAAGTTTTAAACCTAGTGTTTAGTGCGCTAGCAGGTGAGTCAAAAATGATATATTTGTTTTCCAGCAGCCCCACCAACTGCAATGCTTGTGCTAGTACATACACGCTGTCGATACGAAGGCGGACATAGGTTCAGTGAAGTGGAATCTCATTGTCTCTACTATAAGTGGGTGATAAAATAATAAGGGGTGAATTTAGTACCATGTTTAGGCATTTTGCCCATATTTGACGAAGTTAGAAGTAGTATTTGCAAGACTTTTGATATCCTTACCCCTCCTCATTCCAATCTGCTGTACAAGATACATGTATGGCCATTTTAATTAGTTTCTGGCTTAATCAGTGATCTTTGACCTGTTCTTATTTGACCTTTCCACCACAATTGTCATTCTTATGTGACGCCACCACCCTCTAGCTTCCTGACTTGATTTCAAACTTGTACCTTTCATACTAATTAAAACCCTCATTAGTATAAATAGCATTGTTCTTAAGTGACATTTCCACTGGAAATGTTATTCTTACGTTGCTGATTAGCATTAAGTGTGGTGCCCTTAATCATTTGGCATAGCGATGGAACTTGTACCTTGCATGTTAATTAAATCCAATTTTTTTTGAGGGGGGGGGTAAGTGGCACCCCTTCCCACACCCATCACTGGCGGAACATAAGAATGACAGTTCTGTGCAAGGGTAGGCAACTGCTACACCCATAATGCCCCAAACCTTTTCTACACCTTCCATGTTAAATACACCTGGCCTACATGGCCTAGGTCCCAAGCTATGGTGCACGTTGCAATGGCCAATCCATACAACTCTGTATTGATGTTATCGCACCACCCAAGCTAATCACGTACCGCTCTAAATCAACAACGCTTGCAGCAAAATTTGGGAGGTCTTGAAGTAAATCTTGTCCACACTGGGATTCTGCAACCGAGAATTCACAAATTTACAACAATATCTAACAGATGTTAATTTTTAACAGAAGAAAAGCAGTATTATCTTTTCCAACCCCCCAAAATCGGTTTTGTAGACATAGGCGAATACACATTTGATTTTTCACTTTGGGACGTTCAATATTTGTCTGAAACGGGGCAAAGAATTTGACTTATTTTAATGACGTATTTCATATCTTATATTTCACATATTGGGTTTTTCTGAAGAGTGAGACTTCATTTCATGGCAAAATGCAATTTTATTTGGAGATAATGCAAGGTAGACAGTACAACACAACTTAAAGTTCAAATTGCCTGTTCATTAAATGAATTACAAAACTAATGCAGTAAAGAATGTATTTCGAATGACTGTAGGTTCTCCTTAATGACTGCTCCATTTGAAATTGGAAACAGTATTTGTCCCTTAAGTGATACACAACATGTTTTCATTTTTGACACAAATGTACATTAACTTCATGTACACAATCTTCAATGTAAAACACAAGCTACATTTAATGCAATGAAAAAAAAAAGACAATTACAAAACTTTCAGTTTGGATGCTGCAATCAGTGATAAAGTACCAGACTGTGTAATATCTGTATCTATTTGATTAATATACGAAGAAAATAAATTAAAAAGGCAGTGTACACAAAACCATTTTCAAAGTTAAGGTTTATTGTTATGGGCTGGATTCCCCAAATGATACTTTCCCATGTTCAGTCCCCATTAATAATGCAAGCTCTCAGTGTTGCTGCACTAATTACATATGTGTACTTTGAAATGACCGGTTTCACTTTTGCCATGTCCATGTAAAAAAATATGTGTTAAAATGCAGTTTGTATGGAACGTAACGGGCATTGGTACATTAAGTCCCATGTTGATTATTGAATGACAAGGCACCAAACACCAAATAAAACAAATAATATGGCAACCACACAGAAAGGAAAAATGCTCTTTTAATCATCTGTTGTTGCCATCTTGGTATGCATCCAATTTATGCCACCTCCAAAGTAGTACTTGAGATATGCTGTCTGTATATATTCCAAATATTCAACAGTAAAGGGGACATGTACATGTACAGATACCGCCCACACTGGTATATCTACATTGTTTTTGTCTTCATACACCACAGGGCTGGCATGAGCTGCTAACACAGCTGAATCGCAGTAACAGTAGAGGGTTCCAATATTGATTGAGACAAATTCTACTGGAGTTGCAATGCAAATCCAGTCTTCAGCCAAGACTAGTGTCCGTACTTCAGCATGCCCTGGATAGTTTTGCATTCACAGCTATGCAGCTACATGCTGGTTCCAAATTAGACTGTGGGCCTGTTCGTTTCAAATCTTGTTAGTTTACTGACACCACAACCTGCCCAATGAATGGAATGAACCAGCAACGGGATCACTGATTGAGATCCCTGTAAAACAAATTAACAGGCCCTGAATTCAAGCGTTGGCCATCTTCAACAGAAAGTGAGATTAAGTTTTCATTTTGGGAACCTTACAATACAAAATAACAGCAATGAAATAAAAGTCTATTACAAATTAATGCTGTTATCTAAATGATATAACATTTAAAATTGAAGGATTGGAATCTAACACAGTCTGACACCACCCCATTTAACATCGAAGAAGACAGATTCACAGAACAATTGAAATACCTTCCCATGAAAAAAGGTCTGTTCCTCCACTGGAATGTGCAGGGACCACTTAACAACTCTCATCATTTAAAAATACTTTTACAAATCTGTTATGAATAGAATGATAATATAGAGGATTTAAAATTTTAATAAAATCCCATATTTTCCGGCTATAAAATGCTATGCATGAAAGTCTTTACAATGCACATATCACACTCAAGCCCAAGGTATCAAGTATAAATGCAATACTGAGCCCAATCCAAATTCATTTGCTACCTCTGGTGGTAACTTTTCGACAGATGGTATAGACAGGTCTGGGTACAATACAAATAAAATTCCCCATAACCTTTTCATTTAATAGCAGAAATTGGATTTTTTTTTTATACGTCATCACAGTATACTACAAAATTCCATAAATGACTCCCAGCAAATTAATTTAAGATCTTTTTTTCCCTGAACCTGGAAAACCCCTTTGTTTTCTATCTTGATCTGGCCCAGCCTGAACATCGGTGATGATTTGTTCCTTTCACAGACCTGCAGGTACTCCCTCTACCGTTTGATCTAAGCTAATTACACTGACCTGGGCCAACCCTAGTAATTGCAGAAGTAGCCATGACATTTTTAGTTTCAAACATGGACCTCTATACACATTTAGAAAAATTAAATTCAAAAGTATGCTTAGAAAATGCATTTTTCATGAGGCGCTAAGAAAACCAGAACCTTTCTGTTCAGCAGTGTCTGCAATGCTATAATATGTCAATTGTACTTAAATAATTGCTAAAACTACTGCACAAAAGCACTGGCATATCCATGTTGGAGATGGGAGAATAACATTCTCAATAACAGTCCATTTTTTTTCAATTATGTTCAATAATCCCCATCCCCAAAAAGGGTGGAACATGTAGCACCATTTCACGAATGCAGGTGCTTTTAAAAATCACAAGACTGGAAAATGAAACGGAAGGACAAAAATTGGTTACATGTCCATGGGGCATTTTAAAAATTACCCTTGAGCAAAAGCACCCCCTCATTGGTTAAAAAAGCCATGTTTGTGGTGGTGTTAAAGATGCAACTGAATTGTTTGCATTTTTTTTCATAAACCAGTGATATGTCAGTTACCACCAAAGAAGCCTCTGTTGATAGGAAAATTATGCCCTCTCTCAGTACAGCTGGGGGCCCATTAATTACACAGCCGTCTGGGGATACGTTATGAACTTTCCTATGGGAAAATGGTTTCACTGCCAGTCTTGAAAGGTGACAAGTCTTCATTGTAAGCTTCTCTCCAGTTAAAATGTTGAAAAACAAACTCTCCAGAGCCATCATTACATCCTTCATTTAAGTTGCGTTTCCCAAGCGTATTGTGTAAACAAAGTTCATGTTGAGCGGAATAATGAATAATAATAATAACTGTGCACTTGATGGCTGCTTTTTCCTTAAATGCACTAATTCCCTGCTCAGCACTAGAACATAGTAAAATTGCAATCTGGTTATTTGGGCCAAATTGTGCAACTATATGGTGATCAAGTGTAAAAGACTAGACAAAAGTGAGCTGAGCACTCAACATTAAGTCATTTATCGGTACCATTTTGTTCACTGTTTTGCACGTACAGTACACGTACGTCTACTGTGCTAAAACACAAAAATAATCCAACCGATGAAAGACTAGAATTCCAAATTCCTAGAATAAAGTGCAAATTAGGGCTGTGCCTGTTGCCCATGTGCATGTAAATGTAGGCTAACAGTGTCAATCAAATGATTAAATTTCTTAACAAGTTCTCTAAATGTGTGAGTAGTTGCTACATGGGCCCTTACACAGAAATTCTTAACTGTTTGGGGGCTATAGTACAGTTTGTTTTGTAAGGAAACAAGAGGGTTTCATGAAATAAACTTGGGAGAATAATGTTTAATGAGACCCAAACTTTGTAACCTGATCTAAGCTGACCTCAAAAATCTTTCCCGCCCTTACGCATCAGAGAAAATATGCCCTAATCCTGGCAACAGTCTAGGTCAACAACAATTTCAAATCAAATCAATTTCAAATTTCAATTCAACAATTCAAATGCTGAACATGTACAACTCTCTCTCAACACAGCAACAACACTGCAAACTCCATCTTCTGCGAGAAGCTTCTGCAACTCAGATTATGTGGATTGGATGGCACTATTGGTCCTTTTAATGCCAATCCTCACAGTAGGAGCAGCATTTGGGGGATCTGGCGATGCAAGTGGTATACTACTCGGTGGCAGAGCAATCAGACGAGGACGTGCCGTCAAATTGGTTTCTCCAGTGCCTGCTTCAGTGACAATGTTGAAAAGGCAATTCTCAAGAACAGACTCCAACAGAGTAGCAAACTCAGGCAGCCTGAAGGACGAAAGCAAAGTTTGTACTGAATGGTCATATGTAAAATGAAAGAGTATTAAAGAGCCCTGAACTATGCAAAAAAGCCACCTTTGATTTCATAACCAAGACGATTTATTGGCTCTTCCACAAGTCTGGCATCTTATCCACAATCTGTGGAAAACACATTCTTTTTGTTTTAACTTGTGCTTTTTGCTTCATTTGAAAAACTGTTTACCATTTTTTTCTTTTTTTTTGGTACAGACTTTTTAGTACATAAATAAAGTGCCTTTACAAGTCCAGGTCTTTATCAAACTTCTACAAAAATAAAACCACTGTGCATAGATATTTCTTAAAGTATGACATCAAGATGACGAAATAAAAGTTACGTGACATGCCTTCAAAGTTGTGTTCTTTGCAGGCCCTTATTTCCAGAACTGTATGTCCAATTGATTGTATATAACGGGTTTGCCCTTACCCAACGT